TATGGTTGGGGACTGGCGCATTCTTCCTGTGTGAGCGCCAGGCCCCTTCACACCATGGAATGATGATGATGTATGTTTGGGGCTGCATTGCAACACTGATTGTTCGGATCATTGGTATTTAAGTCTTCCACTTTGCTATCTTGTACTTTGTGAGAGAGGTCGGTTCTTGTTCTGGTCTGCACCTTCATGGTATGCAACACTATCACTGCAGTCGGGTCCAAGTTACCTGCCCATTGGTAGGGTAATGGTCCTGAGTGCTGGTCACACTGAGGTAGGATAGTGGGATAGGGGGCGCACTGGGAGCATCGACGTGAGGATGGGATGGGAGATGGTCTCATATTCCAGGACACCCACGGCCTACTGCTCCAGGTGATCACTGTGTACTCAGTGACTGGCCTCTACAACACCATGGACAGTGCGATGATATCAGTGGCCTTACTTCAAAAAAAAAAAAAATCTTGGTGACCTTGATGATATTGATGGCGCCCAATAATTTCTTAGTTGTTGTTTTTTTTGAAAATCGAAAGTGGATTGATGAAACCCTTTCATGCGGACGTGAACGCTCGGTCACTTTTCCGCAGGAGGAAGGCAGTAGACGGAATGGCAAGTGAAAAAAAGGAAAAAGAAAAAAAGAAGGCAAGTGGGGTAGCATTAGGGTCCACGGTAGGGTCCAGGGCCCCCAGTTAGGGACTGGTTTGTGGGGGTTGGTTACTCAGAAAAAAAATTAGCCCTCTTGTGACCTTCGGGTTCCACGTCTTCACCTTAGAAGGGGTATGGTGAGGAGGGGTCTGTGCGATGGTGAGGAGGGGTATGTGCGATGGTAGATAATCTGCCTTAGGTAGCGGTAGTCCCTAGGGAGGTTGGGAAGATAGACGATTTAGGGTAGGTGGCAGCCTAGGTAGCGGTAGTCCCTAGGGAGGTTGGGAAGATAGACGATTTAGGGTAGGTGGCAGCCAATGTGCTGCGTGAGTGAGTCTGTAGGCAAAGGCTCGCAGGCTTTTGAGCCTGTAAGCGAAGGTGGATGATGCTTCCAGTATCATGGCAGTATGTTTTTTTTTTTGGAAATTTTTTGAAAATGCCCCTCCGACTTCCATTTATTTGCGGTATGCCCCTCAAACGGCCGACTTACCCTGTCGCGCCCCTGGAGCCTCTGAAGTTTCCTGCAGGCCCCTGGCAGAGAGGGGTGCAACTTTCCATCATGCCCCTGTGGCGATTGGTGGCACTGGCGGCGGTTCCGCTGGCCCAGGGAGGGAAGCTACTGGGTCATACTGGAAATTTGGAACGGGTACCGGTAGGGGCATATTGAAAATTTCAGGCCCAAATGACGCCAGGGGTTTCTCGGAAACTTCAATCGTTGTCAGAGGGGTGGGACAGGGTAAGTCGGTCGTTGGAGGGGCATATGCAAATAACTGGAAGTCAGAGGGGCATACTGCAAATAACTGGAAGTCGGAGGGGCATTTCAAAATTTTTCCCTTCTTTTTCTTTTTATAAATAAAAACTTGCACACGTTCAGGGCAGGGCAGTTGGCATTTCAAACTGGAACGCAGGTACCAACCCACCTCATCGCAGGGTTAACGGCTGAGAGTATCACGCACCAGGAGACCTTTACGGTACCCAGTCGCACAGGCGTCACCCTCGGTCCCCCTTGAGGTGCTTTGAGCAGCCCTTATGTTTTGTGTCCGGGAGTAATGTGAAGTGAAGGTCCCCGGACTTTTTTTTTTTTTTTTTTTTTTCAAAGGCGACGGCCTTGAGATATGTTCATTGAGCTGAGCGGCACGGTAAGTCATAATTTTACTTTATGCTGCTCATCTGATTGTAGCTGGATTCGAACTTGGGTCTGTATCCCAATAGTTCATTGGGTGTACCAACTGAGCTAGGCCTGTTGGTTAGGTCCCCAGCCTTCTGACTGATGAGAGTAATGGAATTTGAAGTTTGAGCTAAGGCTACCAGCCGTGCCGCCGGGTCAACTTGTTTTCCCGGGGGGCCCGACCGTGCAAGGACCAGGGAAGGTCCCAAGGGAAAACCAAACACGAAAAACCCTGGAAAACACTATGTTATCCAGAAAAAATAAACTGACCAACTTTTGCCTCAGGGTCGCATCGAAATTCTTTGCCAAATTTGAAATGAAATTAAAAATGTAAGAAATATATAGAGGCCTCTCGTCATTTGTCAAGGCCCGCCTTCACTTAGGGCGGCCGTTCTGGCTGAAACAGGGCGCAGTAGGGCTTACCGAGGCCTTGAGCCTCGCATATATATTTAATTTTTATTTATTTTGGCCCGGCCGGGCAAGTGGTCGCGGGCCACTCTGGTAGCCTACATTTTGAGGCCGAAAAAAATAAAAAATAAAAAATTACATGGGTGTTGAAATCGTTTGATTAAATTTGCCCCTGCTCCCAATCGATTGATTGATTGATTGATTTTTTTTTTTTTTTTTTTTTTTAATTTGCCCCTCCTCCCAGTCGTTTGAAAAATGGAAACAGAAACAGAGAAAAGAAACTGACTTATACGGAACGACCACTACTGTTTCAGATCCAATCGGACGACCTCAGGTCTCAGATTCTGCTGTACTTTCCGAAGGAGAAGCAGGAGCACCAGCAGCAGCAGTGATTGTCCCAGAAGCCCCTGCAGAGCCTGCAGCAGCAACGCCTAGTAGCACTGCTGCTGCTGCTGCTGCTGGGGATGTCAAGGGTACACATTCGGCAACGCTAGGCTCTGCAGAGATTGTGGCAGTGTCAGAGTCTGCAGAGACGTCGCAGATAGCAGTGGCAGAATCTGCAGTGTCAGAAGCAAGTGGGCGGGGAACTGAGCCTGCACAGGTGTCGGCGACAGGATCAGAAACTCCTTCTCCAGCAGCATCAGATGAGGCTAAACCTGCTGCAGCAGCAGCAGCAGAAGCAGCAAAGCCTGTGGCAGCAGAAGGGAAGCCTGTAGCAGCAGAAGGGAAGGCTCCTGCTGCTGCAGTAGCAACCGCCAAGGCAAAACCAGCGGTGGCCAGGCGTCCAGTCAAACCCAAAGAGCCGGCAAAGGAATTTTCGCTAGCCATGGTGGAAGACGTCATTCCGCCGCTGCAAGCTTCTCTCGAAAAGGAAAACATTACAAGCCTCGCTCTCTCCTTCCAAGACAACCAGGTTGGTCTGCCTTCCCTTGCCCCTTACTTTATCCTGTTCTCTCTTTGTGTGTCTCTTTGTGTGTGTGTGTGTGTGTGTGTGTGTGTGTGTGTGTGTGTGTGTGTGTGTGTGTGTAGCTCAAGCACATAGCAACATACAACAGCACTCTTATGACCTGATGGATGAGAAACTAATTATCCCTTCTGTAAACAGTACTAAACACCAATGGTTAACCTTTTTTTTTTTTTTTTTTTTTTTTTGTGTGTGTGTGTGTGTGTGTGTGTGTGATGGTTAACCAGTTCTGTATGTGGAATGGTTAACCATTTGCGTTCACCATTTGTGTATTTGGAATGGTTAACCTTTTTGCGTGTGTTTGACGGTTATCCATTTACGCTTTATCAGGTTATCAAACATTTGCCACCCAGTATTTCTCCTTTAGGTGTGTTTGATAAGAAGGCTTCTATCAGGTTATTATTTGATTGTTTTTTGGAGAACAGGGGTAAACCTTCTAGGCTTCCACAATTTTTTTTCTCTCTTCTTTCTACTACAGTTAAACCTTCCAGGCTTCTAGACTCCGTTCACCCTTGTTGTGATTTCTACAGTGAGCCTGGAAGGTTTAACTGTAGTAGAAAGACGAGAGGAAAAAAAATATTGTGGAAGCCTAGAAGGTTTACCCCTGTTCTCCAAAACGTTTGCAAGGAAAATGAGCGATAGCGAACTTCAGAAACCAAGCAGCATCATACACATGGGACCAGATAGTCGTGACCTCGAACCAAAAGCAGAATTGCAACACGAGTTCCACCAAATAAGAGCACAGCAAAAGCTCACAAGTGACAATGTTGGAATAGTCTCATCATCATCAACAAAGAACCAATGTCGACATCCTATCTGGCGCCCTGCGCCCAGACTCCAGATGGCAGATCCTATCTAGCCTATCTACAATGCCGCTGGTGACGTCAACAGCTCCCCAAAGTACGAGCAGATCTCGGCCAATGCCGTTCACCTCAAGCACCAGGTATGTCTCTCGTATCACTCACAACCTCAATCCCCCACTCACAGATGCCACGTGCACCCAAGGACCACCATGCGCCTCATCCAGCTATGCAGCGCAGCTCGGCTATGGGTGCCTGCTTCTCTCTCGGCTCGCCCGTGAGCGCGTGAGCCTGGCCAGCGTGTAGCGCAGCAGCGCTTGGGCAGCATGCAGCCAGTGCCCGAATGCCGAATGCGGGGGCAGGGCCTTTCCTAAATGGAAGTGCCCTGCTAGCTGCGTGCGGTCAGGCTGTTGTGGGCCTCGGCCCAGAAGCTTCCGGTAGGACCCTGAGAGGCTGAGCCCCGGTCCTAACGAATCAGGCCCAGGGCCTGTTACGGTTGCTTGTGCCCAACTGCCCGCAGTCTGGGTTCGGCCCATGTTGTGTATCTGGCCCAGGGCCTGGCTTAGTTGCATACGAAAAAGGCAGCCAGGGCCTGGGCGCTCTCAGCCAACTGGCGCTGCGCAACTGCCTGAATTTTCCCCAGTCGCGTGGTGGCCTGAAAAAAGGCTTTGTGGCCTTGGTCGGGCCTGCCTTACCCTGAGAGGCTGAGCCCCGGTCCTAACGAATCAGGCCCAGGGCCTGTGACGGTTGCTTGTGCCCAACTGCCCGCAGTCTGGGTTTGGCCCATGTTGTGTATCTGGCCCAGGGCCTGGCTTAGTTGCATACGAAAAAGTCAGCCAGGGCCTGGGTGCTCTCAGCCAACTGGCGCTGCACAACTGCCTGAATTTTCCCCAGTTGCGTGGTGGCCTGAAAATAGGCCTTGTGGCCTTGGTCGGGCCTGCCTTCACTTAGGGCGGCCGACTGTGTTGCTTGCAGGGCCGGAAGGGGCTCATCGGGGCCTTATGCCTCGCATTCCCTCCTCTGTACTTTGATAGTCCTCTGAGAAGTTCCCTTAAGTCAGTCTGGCGCTAGTGGGTGACAACCTGTGGAGCGGTCTGCATCAGTTCCTCCCGTGTAAACCATCTATCCTCCTTAGGATCAGTGTGATGTCTGAACCGAACGCGATACTGCAGCTTCGGTTTCGGAGGACGTCCCCTGCCTGTAGGTCTTGGAACTGGTATTTCCCTGTGATCCACAATGTCATCGATGTCGACCTCTCCATCCATGGTTGGGGGCAGCATTGAACGTCGTGAGGGAAACTGATCAGTTTCTTTGGAAGGTGCAAGCTTGGAGGCGTGAAAGACTGGGTAAGTGTGAAGGTGACCAGGGATCTGAATTACGTATGACGGCCCATCCGGATCGTCCCCGATGATATCTAGAACCTCCCAGGGTCCAAAGTACTATGGCATGAGCTTGCAGGAAATCCCGTGCTCTTGTCCCAGTTCTGAGGACTTGACCCAGACTCTCTCCCCTACCTGGAATGTAGATGGGCGGCGGTGCTTGTTTTCAGACTCTATCATCGCCGCCTGTGCCCTGTGCATCTGTTCGACAGCTTGCCGCATCAGATGCTCATATCGATATGCAAACTCCAGGGTGCCTGGTGCAGCAGAAGGCTGGTTCTCAGGTAGTAAGAAATCTAAGGGCAGTCTAGGCTTAAAAGTTAGCAGCAGACTGTTAGGGCTTACCCCTGTTGCGCTGTGCACCACATTGTTATACAGACCGGCGATGAGAGCAAGCTTCTCATCCCAGTCCACCTCATTGGGTTTGATGCAGTGTCTCAGCAGGTGTTGTACAGCGCGATTCAGCTGCTCCCTTGCCCGTTTGCCTGTGGGTGGTTCCTGGAGGTCATCTAGAGCTGTGTACCCTGTTCTGCAGTTGCAGCCTTCCACAACTCGCTTGTGAATCTGACATCCCGGTCACTAATAATAGACTTTGGAAGCCCAAAGTCTTTGACCCAGTTTTCCTTGAACAGCGGCATTGCAACTAATCTAGCATACAACTAAACCTATCCACAATGACAAAGAAGTGTCTCATTCTGCTCTTGCTCGTGACCAGTGTGCCCATGAAGTCCATGGACAGGCTCTCACCGGGCCTTTTTGGAATCAGAAGGGCTTAGTAAGCCCAAGAGGGGCTTGCGTACGTGGCTTGTCCCTCTGACACACTTGACAAGTTTCTACATACAGCTTGACATCTTTCATCATCGTGGGCCACCAGAACTGCTGCAGCAGATTGGCTGCAGTCTTCTTATATCCAAAATGTGCAGTGGCATCATGACACTCACCTAAAAATAAACTACGCAAAGACTCCCTATGAGGCACACACAAACGTTTCTTCCCGGCCTTCTCAAGGAACAGCAGGCTGTTGACCAACTCAAACTTGGCTGAAGTCGCTTTGTCCTTCGCCTCGAGTCTGCGTATGATCTCAGCCATAAACGGATCCTCACGATAGGCTTCCACCAAAGAGCGAGTAACATCGTCCGCAAGCCCAAACTCAATAATCAACGCACCGGGAAAGTCCGGCCTACGCAACAGCGCATCAGCAACTTTATTGTACTCTCCTTCGATGTACTGGGGCTCGAAGTCATACTGCTCAATAACTTCGATCCGGTGTTTCAGCGCATCAGAAAGCACAGGCTGGGTTCTCATCACTTCAGGGTCTGATGATCAATCTTGACGTAGAAGAACCTCCCAAGGAGGTAGTGTCTCTAGTGAGTTAGTGCTTTGTAAATCGCATAAAGCTCCTTCTCATAGGTGGACTTAGCCAACTTACGAGAGGGCATCTTTTTGGACATGTACTCGACATGTTTCAACTTTGGCCCCTCCTGCTGCACGAGCACGACGCTTATCCCATATTGACTGACGTTCGTGGTTACTATAAACGGCTTGTCAGGATCAGGAAGTTTCAAGACTTCATGGTGTGTCAAAGCATGCTTCATATGTCTGAAGGCTGCCTCACACCTGTCTGTCCACTCCCATGGGGTGTGAAGGCGAGTCAGGTCCGTCAAAGGGGCGACAACTATGCTATAGTTCTTCACAAAATTGCGATAATAGCCGGTCATTCCTAAGGACCTCATCTCAGTCACAGATTGAGGACGCGGCCAATCACGAATGATGGCCACCTTCGCGTTATCGGGCTTCAATCCCTCTGCGGAAATCTCATGACCGGAGTACAAGATACGGGTGCGGCCAAACTCGCACTTCTCGCCCTTGATCTTGAACTTGTGCTGCCGAAGGAGACTAAGGACTTTGTCTAAATGACCAACGTGCTCCTCGACAGTCCTACTGAAAATAAGTATATCATCAAGGTACACGATGACGAACTTTTCCAAGTAGTCATGAAAGATCCGGTTCATTGTGTGCTGAAAGGTGCCAGGAGCATTGCAAAGGCCGAAAGGCATCACCACAAACTCGTACAGACCGTACCTGGTCTGAAAAACGGTTTTGTGCTGATTCTCAGGCCGTATTGCAATCTGATGCTATCCGGATTTCAGATCTATCTTACTGTAGTACCGACACCCTTGCACTCGGTCCAACAAGTCGTCGATGCGTCTTAGGGGCTCTCTGTTCTTGATAGTGATGGCATTGAGGCCCCTATAGTCAATGCACATCCTCAAAGTTCCCTTCTCTTTGGTACAAATAAGACTGGAGACCCGTAAGGGGAGACACTCGGCCAGATCCAACCCTTCTCTATGAGTTCCTTGAGTTGTCGGCGAAGCTCATCAAGCTCCGTTGGAGACATCCGATAGATCCTACCCTTCGGAATGCTAGATCCTGATATAATCTTTATCGCATGGACGACCTCCCTCTCAACAACCCCTTTTGGCTCTTCGAATAGATCAGGGTATTTAGCGACTACTCCCTCTATCACCGGCGACATTTTCACCGGCTCGCCTGCTGCAGAGACATAAACTAAGTACATACCCTCCTCCGGATTTTGCTTATAATAATTATAGAACGCGACCACACACATGCATCCGTAGGACACGATCGGACTACTAGCCTTAAACTTACGTAATCTGGCGGTCCCCCCTCCGGGCAAGTGTGTTTGACCACTTTTCTGTCCCAGTCAAACTGGGGCTGTGCAACCGAGAGGTAGTACATACCTAACAAG